GGGCCGTGCTCGCACGCGTGCTGGACGAGTGCGCGACTCGCGACGCCGCCGCGTGCCTGGGCGCCAAGGCCGTGTCCGCCGTGCGGCGCGCCGCGCGCATGGACACGCTGCAGCTGGTGGACGGCGTGGCGTTCGTGAGGACGGGCGAGGACGCGCCGGCGCCCGAGGGCGAGGGCGAGGGCGAGGCGGAGGTGCGGCGGTCGCTGGAGGCGGCGGGCGGCGCCAGCCTCTTCGACCTGCTGATGGACGCCGTGGGACGCTTCTTCCACTCGCACTCCCTGCAGCTCAGCATGCCCCAGGGCGCGCCAGAGCTGCTGCAGCGGGCGCTGGATGAGGGTGAGTCCAGCGGAGGCTTGCCTTCTCCAGGCGACAGATCGCCGTATCTAGGCATTACTCATTAGGCGCGTAAAGGGATACAGTGGAATCAAGTGACCCTTAACTCTTTACGAGCCCTGTCATTGCTAATCTAGGCATTACTCACGTGATGTCTAGGCATTACGCGCGTGAAATTCGAATCAAGTGACAGTTAATTATTTACGTGCCCTGTCAGTTCTAATCTAGGCATTACTCGTAACGCACGTGAAATTCGAATCAAGTGACAGTTAACTTTCTACGTTCCCTGTCATTGCTAATCTAGGCATTACTCATAATGCGCGAAAAGGGATACATTGGAATCAAGTGATCGTTAACTCTTTACGAGCCCTGTCAGTTCTAATGTAGGCATTACTCGTAACGCACGTGAAATTCGAATCAAGTGACCGTGAAATTTCTACGTGCCCTGTCATTGCTAATCTAGGCATTACTCATAACGCGCGTAAAGGGATAAATTGGAATCAAGTGACCGTTAACTCTTTACGAGCCCTGTCATTGCTAATCTACGCATTACTCACGTGATGTCTAGGCATTACGCGCATGAAATTCGAATCAAGTGACCGTCAACTTTACGTCCCCTGTCATTGCTGTTCTAGGCATTACTCATAACGCGCAAAAAGGGATAAATTGGAATTAAGTGACCGTTAACTCTTTGCGTGCCCTGTCCTTGCTGTTCTAGGCATTAGTCATTACGCGCGTGAAATTCAAATCAAGTGACCGTTAACATATTTACGTGCCATGTCATTGCTGTTTAGGGAAAACTCATAATGCGCAAAAAGGGATAAATTCGAAACGAGTGACCGTTAACACATACTTTTAACTTTTATTAAATATTTATATTGGTTGTTTTCGTATTATTTCTATAGATAATGTGGGATTATGTTGGAAAGAGCTGTGTTGACTTCTTTGTGTGATATCTATTTCTTATACTTTGTGCAAGTATATTACATTCCGAGGAATCAATCTGATTCTCTCTAAACAATGCGACATGTGCAATGGAATACACCTACAAGCCAAACTGTTAGAAAGTCCACGTGTGCTCTATCGACAATGATTGTGAGATTGTGTGACAAAATTGTTATGGAACAATATTATCGTCTGTTAAGAATCGAAATGGCGAAACAAAATAAGTTTGCGATTAAGATCGATCGATGGAATTAATTTTTCAGGCGAAAGCATATCTCAACTCCTTGATTTAATCAATTGATAAGAGTTGTTTGATAACCTACATAACTGTTACGGTTTTTGTAGGAATTTGAAACCGTCTTTACTCCAGCAGATAAATTTGGAGTGGAAGTTACTAACCTTGGTTCTCAATAGCCAATACCACCATTCTGAAGGGAAGAAGAAAAAATCTGGAACTCCGAGAATTTAAAAAAAATTTCTTAAATAATATTTGAAATTTATCTCTGTAGATAGCCGTCAATGTCGGGGAATAGAACCAAAATTGTAAATGTGCAAAAATCAAGACGGATGACGAAATTGTTAAAATGTTTGAGTAATCCCGATTATTGTGGGTTATCAACCTCATCTTGTGACTCTTTCCTCCATTTCATTACTTTAAGATTGTTATTGTCACAATTGTTGTGTCCAACAAATAGATAATAATCTAATTTTATTTCGTTAAATACACAATCCAGTTAGTATTATTTGAAATTGTATTTCTTGGCGATAATAGACATGTCATGGCTCTGTAAGGGCTTCTGGGTTTAGTTCAAAAGTACTATAATTGGAGATGGCGTACAGCAAGCATAACGATATGCTGGAATTACTTCTGGACGTGAAGTAATAAAAGTGAATGAACAGTTCATTATGCGCGCTTTGCTGTGGAGGCAATAAGCTCTAACAGGAATGAGATCGCATGTACAGATTTGAAATCTACAACGTCGGCTTTTTACTGTCATGAAAATCATCATTTCGCTATCTCCTGTTTGTTCATTATAATGTAATTCAGTGTCGATGAAATACAAGACTGAAATTTTACAAGCATTTTTACGTGACGGGTAGGAGTTGTAAGTCACAATCGATTTTTTTTCAAGATATCATTTGAAATGCACACACGTAATTTCAAGAGATTGAAATTATAGTTTTAGATTTTGCTTTCTAAAATTAAACTACAATTATAAATGCATTTTTCTGTAATTTTAACCATTGCAACAGCTAATATCATTCCTTATATGCTGACCAATCCAAGATTATATTTGATATAGGTCGGCGTTTTATTCTCCATATTTTAAGTGCAATTTTCTAACATGAAACTACCCCCGTAAATGTATTTCTCCTTTCCATATATACGTCACCCCTCATACAAACGTACATTAATTTTAGTTCGAAAATGTAAATTAAAGCCTTTCGAATAAATAATAAAATTTCGTGTATAAAAAATCCCCGACATTTTTCTCAACTTCTTTATTTTTCTCATCTGTGCGATACCCGTTTCGAGAAATTTGAGCAATCACAGCTATAGTTGCTGAGTCAGGTTTTAAACATTTTTGACATGTTGGTCTTATCCCAGTTTAAACATTGTTGCCTTATATGGAAACACTTCCGGAAATTTGCTTCTCTACTACCTGTGCATCACACTTGCCACCCACAATACAAGCTGATATTAATTCACATTTCAAAATAGAAATTTAACCCTTCGGGATGTGCATCGAAATCTCTAGAAGGGAAAAAGCGCTTCCGGACCTTTTGTCGACCCCATTTTCCCCTCCGTCCAGAGGGTCATCCTTCTTGAGAATCTCAGCGATCACGTCGGCGATCGCCGGTGAGTCAGGGGACGCTGTCTCACCGCCCGGAGGCCTACATCCACGGCTTCCGCGAACCCCATGTGGAGCGTCGGGGGCAGAGGGGGCGCTGGACGAGACAGGTTCAAAGCCGGGCGGGGCGGGGCGGGGCAGAGCGGAGTGGATGCGGGGCGGGACGGGCAGAGCGGAGTGTGGAGCGAGGGCGGGGCGGGGAGGAGCGGGGCGAGGCGGGCGGCGGGCGCGGGGGGGGCGGGGGCGGGGCCTCCGCGCACGTTCACTGGCCACTGCCGTCGCCGGGGTCACATTTCACACTGTTGCGCAAACCTTCGTCGCCACTTGTTTTCCCCCCAGTAGACTCAGATCGTTTTGACAGCGTGTAAGACAAGCCAAAACAAAACAACAATACACGTACAAATTACGATACGATGTCACACATCTAAAGATGGGCAGTTTCATCACCTTGTTCGAATAAATAGATGTGGTGTAAGAATAGCGCAATATAAAGGAAAATTAAAATTTATTTTTATGTATACGATAATTTCGTAAATGAAACAAATATTGAGGTACTAAGTACTTTCCTACATTGACTAAATACACGTTACTCATCGAAAATAGAAGAACGTAATTGAACCATCACAAGTCTGTGACTTTCCTAAATTTAGTTTTCACATCTTCTTTGGCATTGGCAGCAATAAAAAATCAATAAAATCCATTAGTATCAAATACAATTGATTCGGTATTAATTCAGCTATAAGCAAAGCGTTGATATGTATAGATATGTATCACTTCGTTATAAGCATTTGCCTATTCGTAATTCAGCGTCTCAAACTAATAGAATTGTATATTAAGTACCAGAAATTTAACGTAAGACGAAAACATTAAAGGAACAATGTAATAAAAAGGCTCCACATTACATCGAGGTCCAAAATTAAACTTCAATCTATATTAAATCCCGTAAAGTAGCTGTTGTATACCCTTCAAATTCCTCAATGCAGCTCAAAAGAGGGGTGTACCTCGTTGTCTGAAGTACAGAATCTGAAGGAGCTCTCGGGAGCAATCAAGTGCAGCTAATTCACGAGAAGAACACGACGAGCAGGTTGGGCGCTTCGAGTGGTCGCCTCGCGGGCGATCGTCCTCGCGCCGTCGCCTCCTCCACCGCTCCTCGCGCCGCCCACTTTCCTTCTTCGGACGCGTAATAAGTGGGGAAAGTGACGACCGCCACATGAGTGAGGGGCACCGGCCGCACACTCGTCAATGACCGGAACCGATGTGTAGTATCCTTTCGGATACATATTTTTTCTGTTGTCCAGTTATGACTCGGTACTGTTCTGCCCGCTCGAAACAAGGGATAGGTATATTGATTTACTTACGTTACGGAAAACGTTAATTAGACTCGACGTATCTTTCTAATACTTACGCGATATTAATAAAGAACTTGTACTTTAAAGCACAGTGATGCACCCTAAATAAAATACCCTTATAAATAATTTCAATAAAATATTTGTTTTACATATTTTCGTTCGGAAATAGAAATATATTTTTTTGAAATTATAGAAATTTAGTTCAGTACCTTTGTGATGCAGGAAATGTTTCCGAATTTCTTTCATTTCACGATTATAATGTACTTACAGTCTTCACAACGACCCATATACTAGAACTGTCGATTGGAATCTCGCAAAATACACGAATGTTTTCACCGCCGTGATTAATTATGGAAGGCAATGATGACCAATATCGCATCATATACTATTATCTGCATCGCAATCGTTCATCAAAGTCGGTCCATTAATACTCACCAGTTCTACTTGTGAGCTCTCTGTAACATCCCGTTAGAGATTTCACACTGGATACACTTTTATTTGCTCATTCAGACTTTCGCCCGATTTTCACTATAGCTAATACTTACTATCACTTATGTTCAATTACAAGTAAATGCTATTTCCAGACGCGTCAACCTCATAGATAATTAGTCCCTTAAGAGTAGTGCATGTTTCAGCCTAGGAGATTGCAGTGTTCCTCCTCATTGCAGGGTTACATCCGGCCCCGCCTGAAGGGTTTGCAGGGTTTTCCCCTCTTAATATTCTCGCCCACTGGGAATCCGCAGCTGGAACAAGCTCTATTCTCGTGACTGGCCTTCCAAAATGGGTGGTGGTGTAGTGCTTTCCAGTTTGTGTGCATGTGTACGAGGAGAAGAACGGGACGTGCATATTGAAGATC